AGAAAGTTCAAAAGAACAGCATTTATTTGAAATAAAAATATTTTGTAACTTTATGAATGTCTTTACTGTCACTTTTGATCAATTTAATGCATCCTTGCTGAGTAAAAGTATTGATTTCTTAAAAAAAAAAAAATTCTAATGACCCCAAACTAAATATTAAAAGAAATGAACATCAGTCAACATGCATTCGGGAGTAAGCATCCGAAAAATGACATGCATTTTTCCATTTACTGTACTCTTGCATGCCGTTTTAAAGGATATGAGAATTAATGGATTGATTAAATTATTATTTTTTTTCAGAATAAAGGAATAATGAACTATACACATGTAAATGTGGTCATTGATGCTCTCAAAGACAAGTTTTTTCTTCCATCCAGCACATGCATTTACACACCTGCAGACTGCAACTATTTTCCCTACACAAACCACAGAAAATCCGTCACATGTAGAGCGCATGAATCGCATTGATGTGATTGACTTACGCGTTGGACGTGGCCAAAGACAGCGAGCTGAGAGACGAGCTCAATTTCCTGCTGTCCCAGAGTCTCACTTCCTGCTGCCTCATCTGCAAACACAGATGCACTTACACTTCACATTCCATTATTAACACATCGGAGAAGCAACCCCATTATAAATTAGTGATTTAGTGCACATTACACTACATTAAACATAATGCACGTTTAAGTATGTAGTAAACTTCAGAATTACCTGGTTAAAGCCAGTAGTGAGCAAGCTGTCATCTTTGACCCAAAGGACCCGAGAGTCTCTATTAGCCTGATGACCCTGGACGCACTGTAGAGACACAGAGAGACATATGAGACACTCATGAAAGCTTGACTGATTGATAAAATAGGTCACATGCTTTCAGCCAAAATCAATTGACAGCCAATTGACACTTGCTAAGCATCAAATACAAGTAAAGATTGGCTTTGGTGAATAAATCCTTTGCCAGTTGGCTGCTGACCTTATTTGCACATTTAAAAAAAAAAAAGTAAATACTTTTAAACCGCTTTCTTATATAGAGACAGAACAGAGATTGAGAGATGAATGGGTTGTGTTGAAAGCAGATGTCTGATGGCGGTCTGTCTTGAACCATGATGACTGAACGACTGACATCTAAAAATGCATCCTCTTCCTGTCCTTTAAAGTTGACTGTGTGATAGCCGGCAGATCAGGCCTGTCTGTGATGTGAATGACAGACGGCTAAATCACTCTGACATCCTAACCATGCTTCTGAAACGACGCTGCCATAATCACTAGCGGCAAAACAACAGTTGAAACGCTGGGGGAAAAAGATGCTTGTCTGTATTTGATACAGAGATTTCTAAAGGCACTGTGTATTTCTACGCAACTATGAAAATAAAAAGCTCAAAAGAATGTTTTTATAGAACATCTGAAAGAAGGTTCAGAATTCTAAAAAAAGTTTCAAAAGTAATAAAAAAAAAGAAAAGAAATAAAGTGATGCTAAATTCAGAATAAACACAGTTTTAAAGAAAAGGAAATATTTAAAAGACAGTTTCAAAGAAAAAGCTCAAAAGAACAAACGTTTGATAGTAAGTTCAGAAGAAAATGTTTTGGCTTTGCTGAGTAAATCAGGAGGAAAATTTTTTTTCACTTTGCTTGTAAAAAATGTGACAAATGAATTGCTGATTGCTAGTCAAATTCACAAAAAAAGGCAAATAATGCAATGAATTAAACATACAATTTAGAGAAGTAGAAAGACTAAAGTAGCATTTTCTTGCATAACATACTCCGATAATAATTGTTTTATTTACATCTTTGAAAATTTGTAGTGTACTGAACGATATCATTTCTGTAATTTTGATGTGTATACAATTACGATATCAATAACAATATAATTTCAATAAACATATCATTTTTGTCATAAAATGTATGCTCAATTTTGAAATGATGTAAAATAGCTGTCAAAAACTTTGATCGAATTAATTTTGGACACGCATGTATTTGCTTTTTTTGGAAAGTGACTTTTGTTCATTACCAGGTACGTATTGTATTAATTATTATTATGAGCACCATGCAAGCTGCAGTTGAGCTTTACTGGAACAAGCCTTTTATCAAGTCATGATAGATAGCAAAAAAATCCACCTTCAACTGTAAACCTCCACCTTACATGCTTACATATAAAGGTTCTTTACTGACATCAAGAACCTTTAACATCCATGGAATCTTTTCATTCCACAAAATATTCTTATAGTGGAAAAAGGTTCTTTAGATTTTTAAAACGTTCTTCACACTAAGAAAAAAATGGCTCTTTTAAGAACTGATCACTGAAAAGTTCTTTAGGGAACCAAAAATGGTTCTTCTATGGCATCACTGCAAAACCACACTTTTGGTATACCTTAAAAAAAAACAAGGGTTCAAGGGGATGTGAACTTTTTCCATTTAACATATCTATTTCCTGATTTAACACTACACTCTAACGACAGGATTTTTCCTTGATGAAACATTTTAAAACACACTTTACCACACAAAAACAACCTGATAAACAACCTGTCTGAAGCTGGAGTATTGATGGGACGGGTTGAAGAGGAAGGAGGTGTCAGCGCCGGAGTAATGTGAGTTTGGGTGTGGAGGTCAACATCTGAGTTTGGATGTGAGCAGTTATTAATTTCATCCGAATGGAATCTTATCTCCACATTAGTTCAGGAGGAGTCAAACCACACACACGAATACAAATAATTTCCTCTAGCTGCGGTCATCCCGACCTGAATCACCAACACTGACTCTGGAAATTTCTATTGGGCTAAAAACTCAGGAATGTTATACTTTAACAGACAAGATCCATTTGTCTGCATGGCCCAAACCCACATCTGACTGCTCTTATACTCCTAAAAATACAGGTTCTTTATTGGCATCGAAGGTTCCATAAAGAACCTTTAACATCCATGGAGCCTTTCAAATGCACAGAAGGTTCTTTATAGTGGAAATGGTTCTTTTTAAAGTCCCCATGAAATCAAAATTAAAGTTTTTTGGGTGTTAGTATCAATATGTTAGTCTTAAGGTTATCTATAAGGCAGTGTGCTCCAAAACAGTGACAAAATTCGCATTTATAAGATATAAGCATTCAAAGCTTGCAGTTTGTCACTTCCGCCAAAACGGCTCAACGATTTTTTTTTACATCACATCGTACTTCAGCTTCTCATCAAACTTTCTGTCCAATCAAATGCTCTCTAGAATCCGAAGCGCCCGCCCCCTACACTATAAAATAGACGCTGAAGCCGCGGCTGAAATCGGTCACTTGCAGTGTTAATTAGTACCGGTCCAGAGACGCGATCGCACGGAGCGGATCATATGCACGAGTCGGCATATATTAAAAACTTTTACAACTACACAGCCTCAGCATGATTATGACCACTATTTTGTTTTACTAAGAGTTTCATATTGAATCTAGAGGGTAATCTATTAGATTGTGGCTGTCAAATGCGGCTTTACCGAGCTCAACGGCTCTGGCCCGAGCAGATATAAACGAAACGCTATTGGCTATTTTAAAAAGGGGGCGGGGCTGCTCGATATGTCCCGCCCTCTCTTCCTGTTTCAGTTGAAATTACGTCACCACATAGAATAATGCTGCGTGTTTCAAGGCACTTCAGGGGACCTTTAAGAACTGTTCACTAAAAGTTATTTTAGGAATCCAAAATGGTTCTTCTGTGGCATCACTGTGAAAACCTCTTTTTTTCAAGGCATTCCAGCAGATGACGTAGGATGTAGGCATAAGTGACAAATGCGGAAGCGCAGAGGAGAGAGCAAAACAAAACATCTGTCATGAATTAGAAGTAGAAAACGATGATTTGTAAAGAAAAATGTCGAAGGATTTCGATACAAGCCAAGAGGAGACTGGTTTTCTTTTGCTGTAAGCGAGACTAGCATATTTTAAATATGGATATTTAAATGCATCGATTCGCTTCAGAAGGCCTTTATTCACCCCCCGGAGCCGTGTCGTCAAATATACAGGGGATTGGTTACTTCTTTAAATTATAAAAAAGTAAATATATGAATGGTATTATAATGTTATAGTAAAACTAAAATTAAAATAATGGGAAAAACCCTTAAGATAACATGTAGAAAGAAAAAAACGCATCTTAAGCACACAGAATAACATAAGTGGACTTTGAACGATTAATTGCCGCTTTGAACGATTACGTAATTGTAGCATCCGTAATTGTAATCGCGATTAGAAATTCGATTAATTGTGCAGCCCTAATATATATATACACTTATAAGTTTTATTCGATATTTAATCTCTTATATATAAACATATTTAATATATTATTTAATTTAATTGAATATTTAATTATGAATGCTTGTTTCTCTTGCCATCATCTAACGCTCACTTAAAGTTTAATGTTCAAAAACATTAATAATGTAATAACACCGTTAAATGTAATCTTCAGCAAATCTCATGATAATTATTTCAACGTTATGGCTAATAACTTTTAATTAATAATATGCTAATATTGATAACCTGGCAGATATTAAATTGTATTTACTAAATGTTACAACAGTATTGTGTGTAAAAAAAAAAAGTTTAAAAAATTTAAAATAAAACACTATAACAAAAATCTTTATAAATGCTACAAGTGTATTTAGACATCACACAATTATAATGTACAGAGTTTCAATTTTATAATCAACATATTTAATATATTATTTAATTTAATTGAATATTTAATTATGAATGCTTGTTTCTCTTGCCATCATCTAACGCTCACTTAAAGTTTAATGTTCAAAAACATTAATAATGTAATAACACCGTTAAATGTAATCTTCAGCAAATCTCATGATAATTATTTCAACGTTATGGCTAATAACTTTTAATTAATAATATGCTAATATTGATAACCTGGCAGATATTAAATTGTATTTACTAAATGTTACAATAGTATTGTGTGTAAAAAAAAAAATTTTTTTAAATTTAAAATAAAACACTATAACAAAAATCTTTATAAATGTATAAAAGTGTATTTAGACATCACAAAATTATAATATACAGAGTTTCAATTTTATAATCATTTTTGTGATTTGCTAAAAATTATTAGTTATATTAGTGTAATAAAATAAATAAATACAAATATATAAATAATAATAAATAAAACAAATAAAAAATAAATACACACAAAAAAACTAAAGAAATTTTTTTTAAATATATATATATATATATAAAAAACACTGATATGGCCAATAAACAATATAGCATCCCTAATAGGTCTAATAAGTCAATTTTTCATTCTTTATATTACAATCTTGTGATGTCTAAGTTCACTTGTATCATTTTAAATCATTGTTCATTTTAATATCTGCAATTTTTCAGGTAGAAATTTAAAACCAGTGCATCCCTATTGAGAATATGAGTCTGAACCCCAAAGAGCGACAAATCAAAGGTAGAAGAAAGTGAGAAGGAACAAGAGATGAAGACAGCAGAGGAGGCAGGAGACCCTAGTCTGTCGTTTGAGTGTGTTGTCTGCAGATGGCTGGCTGAGAACACACACATTCATCAGTCTGTGTGAACTCTCAACCTTTCTTTCTCTCCGGTCCCCCTCCTTTCCCTCTTGTCCTTTTCGTCCTCCCTCCGTGAACAGGCCTTGGCCAGGCCTCCGAACGACTTGCAACAATGTGTTCGCAACTCGTTGAACAAACACTGGCAAGACTCGTCCTGAGAGAGACTGCTGGCACTGAGTTTGACTGCAGCGTTCAGGAAAAGATGAAACTCCGAGCCTGACTGGAGGACTGGATATTGAGCTGACACACGCGTCACAGCTTCACAGCCATCCCCG